CTAAATGGTCACATCTTTTGTAGATAAAGACCTGTTATTTACCCAATACATTTAACCACTTTCTATAAAGTTTCTTGTCTGAAGGAGACTGGCAGCATTACTATTTATAGTTATACTGCTAATTAACCTTCAACTATCTGTATAGCACATAAGAAATAACACTGCTCACATATAACCAGGCAGCATTTTAAAACATCAATGATACAGAGGATGACAAGAGACCCAAAGCCTTGTTATATACTTAGACCAGACCTTATTGCAATAAAAAAATTTATCAGAATACTGAGGAAACATTTCTGAGAGGAAGCCAAAATATCCTGATCAAACACCATGGTTCGAGTCCCTGTGCAGACCAGTATCACTAGACAGAGAGCTCCTGAAGAACAGGACGGGGACCTTATTCATCTCTAGGGTCACTGTGGCCCAGAAGGTTACTAGTGTTCAGTCAGAAACAGTGAGAGAAAGCAGAAGTAAGGGGGAGAGGAGGAAGAAAAAACAGGCCAATCTAGGGAGAGAAATTCCCTGGATAAGTGTTATTTTACAACTGGGAAAACTACCACTTATAAAATTTTCTAAAAGCAGAAATTCTAAATGCTTCCAATTTTGTTTTGTTTTTAAGTCTAGCAAGCGAATATTAATTCCAGTATTCCTGAAATGGTGGTAGTTCATTTTAAAAAGAGACTTTTCATTTTTGAAAACACTTAGAAAAGTTGGCAGTAGTGGCAATTGGACTAGATACTGTAATAATCTTTAAAATTGATTTAATGTGTAGTTCTTGAATGTTTAAAAAACATACTTATTTAACATCTCACTTCATGAGGTGCTGAGCTAGATGCCATAAAGAAGAAATACAGCTCTGTATCACGAAGAGCTTAAATTTAAGGGAAATTTTTAAGAGTGTAAAAACGTTTAGTAAGGTATTTTAATGTTATACCTGTGGACAGACATATAACAGAATAGTCTCTTCTGTCTTAATTCATACTTTATCATTTCATCTTTATCTCTTACCTCGCCCCATGTGTGAAGTTATTTATTACAAATGAATAAAGGATGTTCAGAAGGGTGGGTGTTTGTCTGTGGTAAGAAAAACAGTGGAAGATGCTGGACCAGAATCACAACTCTGTACTCTAATGCTTCTAGTCTTTCTAGTCTACACTATATTCTGATAATTGAAAATTCCTTTTCCTCTGTTACATTATCAAGGAGCACAAAATATAGATGTTCTGGCAAAAGGTTATGTTAGAAAAAAGTTATAGGTAAAATAAAAGCACTTAGGGGTGTCTAATCTTTTTTTCTCCCACACATTGGAAGAAGAGTTGTCTTGGGCCACACATTAAACATACAAACACTAATGAAAGCTGATGAGCCCCCCAAAAAGGCTGTGCATAATTTTTGCAATATCTGACACCACAGATAAACAAAACAGGCCGCAAATAACCTGCATACCTTTTCCATTATATTTCTTATTGTAAATATGGCCAAATGCCTCTAGTATTGTTGTCTCCTATTTATACCTTCTTATTCACTGATGCCATTGGATCTCTCAGTTTCCAAAGAAAGTTACTGCTTTATATCAGCAATTTCAACAACAAAGCAAACTGCAAATATCTACTGTACCTTTCAAAAAAAGAATTACTGTGTACCCACTACATGCATAATATCTGAAAGGGATATAAAAATCATGAAAAGGCATAGTCACTAAGCTAACCTCAAGGAGTTCTTTATTTAAGAAAAGCTAAATATATGAAAAGTTAAGTAACAAAACATTCTCATAAAAATAGAGGTCAACAGAGATAAGTCCTTAGTTAGTGCTTTATAAAAAAACTGTGGTCTCAGAAAAAAAAGGACAGAAGGTGATTTTAAAATGCTATGTGGAAATTAGGTTAGGAAAAGAATATCATATATAGGACTGGAAAGAACTTGGCCTGGCAGGAAAAACATGTTCAAATTAAAGAACAGAGGAAAAGAAAATTACATACTTATGGTCAGTTCTCACAGGCCTTGACTGCCAAGAAGAAATGTCTTGACTATATTCTCCAAAACTCTAGACAACAAGTTTCTGTATGAAAAATAACCCAACAAAAACAGGGATTTAGTAAGGTTACTCTTGCGAAGATGAGAATGGGGACATTGTAATGGTGAACAACCAAAGGCAAAGTGATCATTAAAGTTCTCTCTCTACTTTAACCATCCCTGAGAGGTTGAGATCAGAGAAATGAACAAAAAGAACATGAAATGAAATAATCGATTTAAAAAATTGTATTTCTTATATGCAGTTCTTAAGTAGGGTAGAATCTTACGGATCCAACTGCTTTCTTCAGACGGCAAAAGGAAATATAAATCCACAGAATTTTAAGAGAAGAGACCTTACAGTTCATGTCCAACACTGTCATATTTTTTTTCAGATGAGAAAACTGAGCAGCAACAAGGTTAAGCAATATAAAATGACAGATTACCAAAAAAGATTAAACTTTACTCATAAAATAATATTGTTAGGGGAATCTTCAGCCTGTCAGTGTGGGGAGTAGAGAGTACACAGCGTCTTTCTAGGCAACATGGCTGATCTTCTTGATGAAAACAAATCAGATTTCTGCTTACATTTATTACCTATTATAGCAGAAGATTCCCAGAGGAGCAGTAGTTGTATTCATCTATACCAGGACTATAGACAAGGGCAGAGGAGGGGAAAGAGGCCGGAATATATGAGGACCCAACAATCTTCAAAACCAGAGATGGCAAGTATTTATCATCATCTAATCAAACCCATAGCTAACATGACTGTTACCCACCCTGCCCATGTCTTATAACATGTCTCAATACTATATTTGTGGGAGCCACTCCTCATGGATTAGAGTTAGCACAAATGTGTTCTACATTCTCTAAAAGGCTAAGTGAAGCTTCCCTTTGTTTCTGTTTTGAGTTGTCTTTTTAAGTTGGTGTTTCGCCTTCCCAGTCTTTTTCACTTAATACTGTAAACTCCTCTCAATGAGATCTATCTCTATTCTTATTAATCTGTTGGTATGGGTACTTCTCAAACTTTAATGTGTATACACATCACGTAGAGATTCTGATTCAGTAAGGTCTGAGATGGGGACCTGAGATTCTACTTTTCTTTTTTTTTTTTTTTTTT